ACCGAGCGTTCTCCAATTAATTGACCGCTCAAATAATTATATTATAAGTAATTTTGTAAACTACATTTATGTAATTAAATTTATGCAGTACTTTTGAAGTATTGACGACATCTTTAACAAAACTAAACATAAATAATAGCAATAATTAACAATAAAGTCACATTTCTTTAGGTCACAAATAATTACAAATTCATTTTGATGACGATAATTCTTCTGATTCACTTGAAATTTTTTTATTCTTCTCCTTCTTTTTTTCAATTAAAGCTTTTTTACTAGCTTGTAACTCTTTTTTATTTTTTTAATTGCTTTTAGCAATTTTTTCTTCTAATAATTCGTTCTTTGATGTAACCGTTCACTAAAAAAATTAGAACAAAATAAAATTTAATAATCAAAAAAGATTTTAAGTATTATTTTAATTATAAATATACATTTTATAATGATTATTTTTATATTTACAAAATATTGAATGACTAATGTACTTTAAACACTTGACAGATTTAATTTTGAAGTTAAGAAGTTAGTATTATAAATATACGGTGATTAATTGGATTGTGATAAAATCAGAGGGTCTAATAAATGACCGAATGAATTTTTTACTGGGGTAAAGGGCTTCTGACGGATCCAATAATTGACCGGTCTTAAAATAATATTAAAACTTATAATTTAACTTTATTTTTTCAATAAAGTTGGAATCTGATCTTTAATTAACATAATAAAACTAAAATATTTTATATTATGCCGATAAATATCACTAAATTAATGATGAAATGCACTTACTCTCCGATTGTACGCTAGTTATTTTTGACCGCTTTATGGCTGGTTCCGTTGTAAACAAACTCAGAATATTTTTTTAAAGCTATAATCACTGCCCAATTAATTGCGTAATTTTTTATTATGATGATTAAATGCCATATTGTTTTACTTTAATACTTTAAGAAAAAAAAAAAAACCCTTGTAAAATATTAATTAATTAATCATCTCAAAAATAACAGTTACTGTTTAATCCACAGTAACTCCACCCTCGTACGATGTCCTTTCGCTCTTTAACCGAATTTTGCATTTTAGCGCCATTTTGCCGTCATCTGTCGTCAGTTTTTTCAAGCTTGTGATCAACTATTTATTTACACTAAATTACAACTCCGGCCTGCTGGTTTTTATATTTAAAATTTATTAACGGTTCGTTATTATTTATCTGACTTATAGACAATTTTTAAATTTATTAATTATATTTTATAAACTGGATTTTTATTTAACAACTTGAAATTTTCGCAAAAGGTATTTTATATTTTTATTATTTTATCTTGGTTCAAGTTACACACTGATATATAATCGTATTTTTTTTTCTAGGTTATCCGGCGTGTCAGTAAACAAAACAATTATTGTTTACAAACTCCAAAGAAAAATATTTAATTTATAAAAATGGATGATCAAAATATTCGGGCTTTTAATGCCGCTGTTGATGAATATTTAACACGTTCAAATGATACTACTAGTGCTATTGTTAGGAAATGTCTTGATGTAAGTCATTCTTTTATTTTTTACAAGTTACTAATTAAAAAAAAAAAAAAAGAATTAATTTTTTCCGTCCAGAACTAGGATAAATGCACCAGTTGTTGACCGGTCACCAATTAGTTGACCGATGTATGAAAAAGTTAATTAATTAATATTTAACAAGGGTTTTTTTTTCTTAAAGTATTATAATAAAAAAATATGGCATTTAATCATCATAATAAAAAATTACGCAATTAATTGCGCAGTGATTATAGCTTTAAAAAAATATTCTGAGTTTGTTTACAACGCAACCAGCCATAAAGCGGTCAAAAATAACTAGCGTATACAATTGGAGAGTGAGTGCATTTCATCATTAATTTAGTGATATTTATCGGCATAATATAAAATATTTTAGTTTTATTATGTTAATTAAAGATCAGATTCCAACTTTATTGAAAAAATAAAGTTAAATTATAAGTTTTAATATTATTTTAAGACCGGTCAACTATTGGATCCGTCAGAAGCCCTTTACCCCAGTAAAAAATTCATTCGGTCATTTATCAGACCCTCTGATTTTATCACAATCCAATTAATGATCGTATATTTATAATACTAACTTCTTAACTTCAAAATTAAATCTGTCAAGTGTTTAAAGTACATTAGTCATTCAATATTTTGTAAATATAAAAATAATCATAAAATGTATATTTACAATTAAAATAATACTTAAAATCTTTTTTGATTATTAAATTTTATTTTGTTCTAATTTTTTTAGTGAACGGTTATATCAAAGAACGAATTATTAAAAGAAAAAATTGCTAAGCAATTAAAAAAATAAAAAAGAGTTACAAGCTAGTAAAAAAGCTTTAATTGAAAAAAAGAAGGAGAAGAATAAAAAAATTTCAAGTGAATCAGAAGAATTATCGTCATTAAAATGAATTTGTGATTATTTGTCACCTAAAGAAATGTGACTTTATGTTAATTATTGCTATTATTTATATTATTTTATAAAAAAAGTACGATTTAAAATTATATTGTATGTTTAGTTTTGTTAAAGATGTCGTTAATACTTTATATATATACTTAACAAATATAAATAATGCTGTGAAGCGGGAAAGAATAGGAGTTACGGATAATTATTACGTGAAGCGTTCCAACATTCACGTAACAGGATATTTTGATAGGAAAGGATTGAGAAAGGATTGTGGAGAGGAACTTCTTAATGTGAGTGTATAGAATATACGAGAAAAA